ATTCTATGATTCTATGATTCTATGATCTTCCTGGGAAGGGTGCACATCATTCCCTGCAAGCCTATGGCATTTAACCAGCAACTACAGACATACCCTGGACCAAATGAGTTTCCTTGTTAAATCTGGTGAGAAGGATCCTGTGCTTCCTCTGTCACTTGGGCGAAAAGTCCAGTTGTGCTTTAGCTCCTAATCTATAAAGCAGCACTAGGAAGTGCTGAACCTTGAGTGCACGCGTTGCGCAGGCAGTAGGTCTCTCAAACAGATGCACTAGTTACTGGGCGGCACTTCCTTCCCTAGTAGCCATCGTTATGTCAGCACCGTGTCACTGCTAAAGAGATAAAAGATAAATTTTGGTCATTGAGTACAAGTTGAGCCTAGAGGACAGCTCTCAGCTGGATGTAGTTTTAAGACTATTTCCTGGTAAGTAGAGCGGCCACCAAATATTTGAAGGCAAAGTTTTATGTAAAGTAGTTGCAGAAAAGGGAGCAGTGAGAGCTGTCCAAATACACTGTCCTTTACTTGATTAAAAAATGGTGGACATCACAGCTGTGCAAACTGGAAGGAACTTAGCTTCTGTTCACCCTCTCATCTGAAAGCACATGCCGTATTATTTTTTCTTTAATTTATTTATTTCTTCCTGATTGTTGACGCAGGGTTCTCATCAGGGAAGCTGCCTGCAAGTGTGAAAGCCAGCGAACAAGTTCCCCTGCTGTCTCTTGTTATGGTAATGTTCTTGTTTTTAAGGAATCTCTACGTTCATCAATCATGTAGAGAGGGGGGCCAGGAGGGCCCTACGGGCTTTCTTGCGGCCTCCTGGGGCCTTCGTGCGCCCTGGGCCAGGGGGCACTGTGCGCTTTCGTGCGGCCTCCGGGGACCTCCATGCACCTTGTGGCAGGGGGACCCTATGGGCTTTCGTGCGGCCTCCAGGGTTCTCCATGAGCCCTGGGCCAGGGAGGACCTGTGGGCTTTTGTGCGGCCTCCAGGGGCCTCTGCAGGCCCTAAGCCCAGGGGTATGTATGGGCTTTCATGTGGCCTCCCAGGGCCTCCGTGCGCTCTAGGAGAGGGGTGCCCTATGGACTTTCGCGCGGCCTCCACACACCCTTGACCAGGGGGGCCCTATGGGCTTTCGTGTGGCCTCTAGGCACCCCCATGCGCCCTGGGCCAGGGGGTCGCTCTGGGCTTTTGTGCTACCTCCAGTGGCCTCCACAGGCCCTAAGCCAGGGGGCGCTATGGTCTTTCGTGCTACCTCCAGCGCCCTCCACATGCCCTAGACCAGGGGATCCCTATGGGCTTTCGTGCAGCCTCCCGGGGCCTCAACACGCCCTGGGCCAGGGGTTCCCTATGGGCTTTTGTGTGGCCTCCCAGGGCCTCCATGTGCCCTTGGAGAGGGAGGCCCTATGGGCTTTCGTGTGGCCTCCCAGGGCCTCCCTGCGCGCTCGGAGAGGGAGGCCCTATGGGCTTTCGTGCGGCCTCCCGGGGCCTCAACACGCCCTGGACCAGGGGTTCCCTATGGGCTTTTGTGTGGCTTCCAGGGGCCTCTGTGCGCCTTAGTCCAGGGCGTCCCTATGGGCTTTCATGCGGCCTCCCTGCGCGCTCGGAGAGGGAGGCCCTATGGGCTTTCGTGCGGCCTACCTTGGCCTCCATATGCCCTTGGCCGGGGGGCCCTATGGGCTTTCGTGCGGCCTACCTTGGCCTCCATATGCCCTTGGCCGGGGGTCCCTATGGGCTT